AGGTGATAACTAGTCCATCCCCAATATAATATCGAAATCGACCATGTCTAGAAGCAACAAATCCACACGAGTCTTAAGACCTCCAATCACCACAATACAAGAACGATGGACTCGATCTACCATAATAGAATCACCCACCAGTGTAGACACATAAACAAGAATACTGAATGAATTACTAGGCATGACCAGATACGGTGCAAAATAAGATGACACATACAAGTAGGTAGACCCTGGATCAAGTAACACTAAAGTATCTCTATCACAAACCAGAATAGTACTTGTAATGACTGCATCTGAAGCCTCAGCCTCGGGCCTGGCTGGAAGGGCATAACATCGGGGCTGGGCCCCACCACCCTAAATTACATCTCTGGGACGGCCTGCAGCTGGCTGGCCTTCACCTCTGGCCGCCTGAGCTCCACTTCTAGTATCTTTACCTCCACCTCTATCACCTCTACCCCTACCTCTAGCTGGCTAGGCGGGCTGTGGAACACCTGGTGCCTGTACCATAGCACGAGGACCCTGATGCTGAGAGCTATTTGGTGCTCGAGGGCAAAACCTAGCAATGTGACCCGGATCACCACACGTGTAACAAGCCCTCGGCTGCTGAGACTGCTGGCCCTGACGACCTGAATGACCACCCTGGAAACTCTGAAGCGGCGGTGCACTAATAGGAGTAGGTGGTGCACTGTAGGACTGCTGATCGGGATACTGCGTCTGGGGACCACAACCACCTGGAGTACCCTGAGAAACCTGGAGCGCTGACTGAAAGGGCCTAGGAGGATGGCCTCTACCATACGAATCTCGACCTCCGGATGAGGTACCACTGAATCGGCCTGAATGACGGGGCCTCTTGTCTGACCCATGACCGTCTTCCTGTGACAGAACCATCTCAACTCTACGGGCCACATTGGCTGCCTCCTGAAAAGTAATCTCACTTCCAGCCTCTCTAGCCATCTGAAGATGAATTGGCTGAATAAGGCCGTCAAAATACCTCCTCGCCCTCTCTCTCTCGGTGGGGAGTATGATGAGAGCATAATGAGCTAAGTCGATGAACCTAGTCTCATATTGGGTAACAGTCATGGAACCCTGCTAGAGGCGTTCAAACTGCCTCCGATAGGCCTCTCTCTGAGTAACGGGGAGAAACTTCTCAGGAATAACATTGTAAACTGCTCCCAAGTTAAGGCTGGCGATCGGGCTGGTCTCGCTAAGCAATAATCCCTCCACCAAGTCTTGGCAGATCCAGACAAGCGAAATGTAGCAAAATTGACCCCATTGGTCTCAACAATGCCCATGTTTCTGAGAACCTCGTGGCAGTTGTCTAGATAATCCCGAGGATCCTCAGTAGATACACCGCTGAAAGTAGAAGTGAAGAGCTTGTTGAACCTATCCAGTCTCCACAAAGCATCGACGAACATAACCATTCCATCACCGGTCTGAGCTACCACACCTGGCTGTACTGCTCCAGCTCGCTGAATCGCTGGAGTCTGCATCTGAGGAGCTACCTGCTCTGGAGTGCGAGTAGCAGGAGTCTGGGCCCCTCCTCCAGCCTGAGAGACGGCTGGTGCTACAGGAAGCAAGCCTGCCCAGGTGACACTCTCCATGAGGCCCACTAATCGGACCAGAGCATCCTGAAGAACTAGGGTAGTAATAAACCCCTCTAGGACCTGAGCTGGGCCCACCGGAACTACTGGAGCCGGAACCTCCTCATCAAAATCAACCTGAGGCTCCGTCACTGGGGCTGAGATCTGCCCCTACCTCGGCCTCTAGCACGGTCTCGGCCTCGCCCTCTGCCCCTCGTGGGAGCTGTTGTCGGGGGCTCGGGATGCTGAGCGGAGGATGAGGAAGCGTGTGTTCTCGCCATCCGTGAAAGAACAAAGTTGAAGTTCAATTAGCATTGAGTAACAAAACCGCACGATAGGAAAGAATAAATGTGAAGTTTTTTCCTAACTCTGTAGCCTTTGGGGGATAAATACAGACGTCTTCGTACCGATCCCTCAAACTCTACTAAGCTTGTCTGTGAACTTTGAGACCTATGTAACCTAGAACTCTGATACCAACTTGTCACGACCCGGATTTCCGACCCTCGGGAGTCTTGATGGCGCCTACTAATGGGAGCTAGGCAAGCCAAACCTCACCTACTTGCTGCACTTTCATTTTTGCTTCTTTAACAAACACGAGTCAATAATATGATAAAAGCAGAATTTTAAATAAATAAGCGGAAGTCAACAATTATATATCTTAAGTCTACGTCCATTACAACTTTTAAAAAACCTCAAATACCCCCAAAACCTAGTGTCACAGTGTCACAGACTGTCTAAGATTTACTACATACAAGGTCTGAAGAAATACAATACACTGTCTCTGAACAAAGGAAATGAAACAGGAAATAGAGATAGAGGGAGGCGCTAGGGCCTGCGGACGCTTGCAGGTCTACCTTGGGTCTCCGAGTGGACTGAAGGAAGCCCTCCAACTACTGTCCGAAAGCTGCTCCTGGATCTGCACAGTGCAGAGTGTAGTATCAGCACAACCTACTTCATGTACTGGTAAGTGTCTAGCCTAACCTCGGCGAAGTAGTGACGAGGCTAGGACTAGACTACCAAATAAACCTATGCAGTTCATATATATATATATATCGGAAAAGAAATACAGAAATAACCAGTCAATGTGGGAGGGGGAAACATGCTGTGGGGGCGATAATAGTTTCGCATAGATAGGCATTAAGTAAGGAAATAACGACATGACTAGAATATCAAAAAAGAAGCAGAAATCAACAATTGCACGGCATCACCCTTCATGCTTTTACTCTCAACCTCACCAAAGCAGTTATATAATTAAAACGTGCACGACATCACCCTTCATGTTTTTACTCTCGTCCTCACCAAAACAATCATATATTCAAAATGTGCATGGCATCACCCTTCATGCTTTTACTCTTTTTCCTCAACATATGATCAATAGAATCGACACGGAATGGTACGTCGTGCGGCACGGCATCACCCTTCGTGTTTTTACACTCTTTCCTCACAATAACAAACAATGCACGGCAGCACCCTTCGTGCTTTAATACTTTTCCTCACCCAAACAACAATCACAAACAAAGGGGCAAGAAAATAAACAAAATAATAATAATAGAAATCCCGGCAAGGGAACAACATCAATAATCTCAACATCCCGACAAGGGAGATAATTAACAAAGTAACAATATCCCAGCAAGGGAACAATTTAATAACTCTTTTTTCAATTTTACTTCACAATTCACTTCACAACTCGAGCCAATGCTCTAGAGGTTCGATTATCACTTATTCTTTCACAACTCATTTTGCAACTCAAGCCAATGCTCTAGAAGTTCGATTATCACTTATTCTTTCACAACTCATTTCACAGCTCGAGCCAATGCTCTAGAAGTTCAATTGTCACTTATACTTTCACAATTTCACTATACAACTTGAGCCAACGCTCTTCAATGTTCATAGGTCATAATTCTTTCCACAAGCTTTATACAACAAATAGGAATCTTCACCAAGGCATGAATAATACAACGAAATCATGAAAACCACAATATAAGACCCACGGTCATGCTTGACACCAATGTATAGATACTCGTCACCATGCCTATACATCGTACTCGACAAGAAGCAAATAGCAAATAGGACACAACTTTCAATCCCTCAAGCTAAGGTTAGACCAAACATTTACCTCGATGCCTCGAACACAACTCAAGTTTCAATAATAGCTTTACCCCTCGATTCCACCGTCAATTCGCTCGTATTTAGTCACAAGTTACTTAATTACATCAATAAATGTTAAATGAATCAATTTGAATGCTTGAAAATGAGTTTTCTAAAGTTTTACCAAAAAGTCAAAAATCGACCCCGGGCCCGCTTGGTCCAAATCCGAAATTTGGACCAAAACCCGATTACCCATTCCCCCAAGAGCTCAAATATGTAATTTGTTTTGAAATCGGACCTCAAATCGAGGTCCAAATCCCCATTTTTTGAAAAAACTAGGTTCTACCCAAAACACTCAATTTCCCCCATGAAAATAATTGATTTGAAGTTGAAATCATGTAAAAAATGTTAATGATTGAAGAAAACTAGTTAAAAATGACTTACAATTGATTTGGAGAAGAAAGGTTATTTGAAAAATCGCCTCTTATGTTTTTTGGGTTTTGAAAAGTGAAAAATAACTGAAAAATCCGTTTAAATATACTCCTCTCAGACCCTCTCCGTGGACCGCATAAAAAGGACTGCGGCCGCGGAGCTCCACCGTGGACCGCAAGAAATCGAGTGCGGCCGCGGACCGCACAAATCCCACCGCGGTCGCGGAGTCCCCACCGCGGCCGCGAAGTTTCCACTGCGAGACCTGGCTTCAGAGACCTGCACTTCTCTGAATCTGCAGCTTTTTTCCTCAGTGTAAAAACATCCTGAAACTCACCCGAGCCCTCGGGGCTCCAAACCAAATGCCACACTAACTCAAAAATATCATATGGACCGACTCGTGTGATTACATCATCAAAATAACATGTAAAATCATGAGTTAAACCTCAAAACTCAACATTTTCATCAAGAACTCTCAAAGTTCATAACTCTTCAACCGGAAGTCCAACTCACGTCAAATAAACTCTGTTTTTCACCAAATTTCACAGTTATCTTTCAAATACTATAACAAGTTTGTACCGGGTTCCGGAACAATACGGGCCCGATAACAATGGTTTCAAACATTAATTCTTTTCTTTATTCCTTAGATAATTCAGTAAAACAATTTCTTTCAAAAATTGATTTCTAAGGCTTGGGACCTCGGAATTCATTTCCGGGCATACGCCCAAGTCCCATATTTTACTGCGGACCTCCCGGGATCGCCGGAACACGGATCCGGGTCCGTTTGCTAAGAATGTTGACCAAAGTCAACCATAATCAAAGTTTTAACTCTAAAATTTCTATTTCTCATATTTTCACATAGAAAGCTTTCCGAATATAGGTCCGGACCACGCACGTAAATCAAGGTGGGGTAAAAAGAGAGGTTTTTAGGCCTCGGAACACTGAATACACTTGCAACGCAAGTGATGACCTTTTGGGTCTTCACAGGATAAGGTTACAGTTTATGTAGGATGTTAAAAATCATTAAAAGATGGTAGAATCATGAAAAGATGTTTAATTAGTAAAGATTAATTTTTTTTATTAACTTATAACATTAATTTTTAACTATATTTATTAGATGGGAATAGAGATGCTCTAACCTTGAAAGAGACTCTGAAATGGTCAATGTGGAACAGAAACATTAACATTAAAAGGTAATTTCTGTTAAACTCCATGATACTGTCATGAAGTATTATAATAGTATCTTTTACTTAAGGGTCAATTTTCCTTTCGATGTTAGAATTGTATTTTTTTAGGAACATTCAAATATAATATTGAAATATTGGACTTTTTTGCCTTATAGGAATTCATTCCTCCTTTTACTTAAGTGATTGTCTTGGGCATCTCATGTTGTATATTTTTTTTAATAGAAATGTGGAACTAAACAAGTGATGGTGACACGCAACAAGTGGAGATTATGTTGTTCAATATAAGTGGGTTAAAAAGGTATAGACACAAAAATTGGATCTATTACAGGTAAATGTTTAATAGATACAACTCTGTTACTTGCTTCAGCCAAACAAGCAGCATCGTGGTAGAACTTTATATTTGAGGTGTACTTTTGAGCTTTACTCTACGTGCCATAATATTGAGTTATTTCACCATGAAATGTTATGTTACTTGATAACTGTCTAAAGCTAACTATTATAACTTATGCAAATAAACTAACACGCTGAAGAAGGATATAATATCTAGAAAGAATACAAATAAGGATAAAACAATTGTACTTTATTTTGTCTATTTTGAAGGTACCAGTAACTTAATTGATAACAATAAACCTTGCACAATGCTTGCTCAAGCATTAGCACAAGTTAGCTATCACAACAATTAGTCGTGCTTAGAAACTTTTTCTTGAAGGAAACCTTTGTTTAATGCAACATTTGAACATTCGTGTAGCTAAGGTGAGCATTAACAAGGTTTTTTTCATCTTAGGAATAAATTTATAGTATGCAGAAGGTACATTTTGTTTGAAATTGGTTGAAAAGATAGTTTTTGCTCAGTAAGTATATTTTTATACTCTAACAAAGATAATTACATATACCAGTTGGGAATTTCAGAAATCATAGCATAAGTTTTGTCAGTCAAATGGTTGGAGGCCTCATCCTTTTGTGGCATTTCTTTGAGGAGTATATTCAGGTGTCCGCTTATGCAAAAAATAGTTTTGTGCATTAAAATATAAATTAACATGTTTATATATTATTTCGTGCGCTGTTAATTTTTTATTCTATAATCTAAAGTAATCATATTTAACGGATACTGACTCTTTTCGTGCACTATTTTATGCATCCTCTTAACCGATTCTAGGTAATTTTTACTTCACTATTAGACTGTTTTTGCTACTTCTTTTACCCTTCAAAGCTTAAATTTGTTTCACCTTGGCAATATTTCTTTTGAGAGCAATACTTGGACATATCGTGGAAGGAGGTGCGCTTTCTTTAAAAAAAACTTTCAATGTTTTGTGTTAACTAACTAATTATATTCTTTATTTTGTGACAAATTATTGGAACTTATATGTATGTATGATCTGAGGATTTAAGGATGTTGCAGGAACTATTTTAGAGGGAAAAGCAATCCATCCATTATATTCTCTCGCTTTTTTCTCATAAAGTTGTGTTCACAGTCTCTGTGTTAGTGTATATGTATGAGATCTTTTTTTTTATACAAATTACATATATGTATGCCATTTGGATACACAAAGGTATTACGCAGTTAAATTTTTATTTTCAATCTACAATTTAAATGGATTTGGCATGTAGGATTGTGTCAATGGTCCTCCTGGTGTGTCAAGTGGGAGAAATACCTTTGTTTGTAACTGAAAATGTGTTGTACATTTTATTATTTCTCCTGCATAATATTGGAAATATATCATCAGACATATTCTATGTCGTTTTTACACGATGTTGTGATTGATAGTTTTACTTTTATTCGTTCCATGGAATATTACTATCATTTGTGGTTGTAGAATGAATAGGCCTGATTAAAAAGTGAAATGGGTCTAAATAGAGCGGAGTGGGAATTAATGAATTCTCTTCCTCCTCTTTCATCTTCTTCTCTTTTGTCTTTCATTTTTGGGAAATAATTTATTTATTTGTGTTTTTGTCTTGATTGTTTGGTATTGGACATACATTTTATATTCTTATAGTAATATAATATCACAAAAATACATAGAGATACAAAAGAAAATTAACCGTTGAGGTGAACTTTGATTAACTATCACAAAGTGACATTTTCTCAACATTCATCGAGTGTTTTAAAGGTTACATTTCTTTCTTTTTCCTTAATATGTTATTTTGGAAATTCAAAATACTCCAAGTACGATTTAGAGAAGGAATGATAATGCATAGATATTACAGAAATAGAAAACTAAACCTTGTGTTGAACTTTTAACAATATTTAAAAGAACTATTTGTTTTGTTGAATTTTAAGTTTTAGTATATATAGATCTTTTTTTTTGTTTAATAGTGATGGTATTATTTTGTGGCATGATGTTTTGGATATCATCAATACATGGCAAATAATACAACAAGGTACCAATGTCAATAATTTATATTCATTCAAGCATATTACATTAACTATTTATCCAATTTTATTTTCATCGATAAAAGAAGATTTAATCCCTTAATTTAAACCTTCAAATTAGCCCAATAAAATTCTTGCAATGAAGTAAGGTGTATGCTTTCATGTGTATAAAAATAAAGAAAGCGAGTCTGGATGATTTTAGAAAGAAGTAACCAATCTTAGAAATGCAACTACATCACAATTGATAATGTTATGGTTGAAGAATAGAGAAAATAAAATTATGAAAAATGTAACAATAACTTTTCATTCATATTTTATGTATAAGACCGCGCGAAGCGCAGGCAAATTGACTGGTATATATATAAAAGAGGAAATAGATATGATGACTTGGCACCTCTCTTTTTCCAAGGATTCTATTTATTTATTTTCTCCTTTTTTTGTTTTTTTCTCTTATTTTTATGTTAAATTAGCTCAATAATAGCTTGAGTCTTTATTATACTCTTTAAACCATTCCATTTAAAAACTCAAAATGTCACCTTTCTTAAACCTTATAGCGTTTCAAACTTTTTACCTTCCCCATAATTGCTCATTAAACCTTATAACATTTTTCCCTTCCCCATAATTGCTCATTAATTAGATACATTAACATCTCATATATTGTGTTTAAATGGCCAATGTGTTTAGGCACTCATTGTCACCCTACAAAAGCAAATTCAGAAAATGGAGGTTAGTCCACATATCAAGCATTTCGGTAAGTTTTGTGGAAAAGGTACGGATTTCTATTTTTATTTTTTTTTGGTGCTTCTAAATAAACTAGAAACTATAATTATGTTATATTTTATTAAGTTCTAAGGTTTTTCTTAAACATTGGAGTGATTAAATTTCTTTTGCAATAGCATTGCAGTTTATATCACCTTTTCTCTTTTTGTGATAGATCTGCGGAATTGGGAGAGCATATTTTCCAATTTAAAGAACATTTTGATATATAGCTATTGTGAGAAAAGTGAGTATATTCTGAGAAGTGCTTTTGGTTTCCATCTTTTCTTGCAATTGTTTAGATGATACTATCTCAGGAAAAAAAACTTTATTATCTCCACTTTATTTTTTACATATGTCTATTAGTCAATATAATTTTCTGATTAGGATTCATCTGAAATATTAATATTTTACCCAACTTGTGTTAAAGATGAGGTTTTGTTGCAGGTGTAACAAATTATGCAAAACTTTACTGATGCAGTGGGCGAAGCAGTTGAGAATAAATCGGTGTTATTTTCACCTCAAGTAATAAATAGGCATCTCTCACATGCAATGAGATAGTTTTATGTAAAATTGATGTGTATTCCTTAATTAATTATCTCTTTGATTTCTTAAATTGAAAATAAGTTTCAAGAAATTAGTACTCTTATGATATTCGTGTAATAGTCATTTATATTATTTTCTTATTTCTGTAATTAAAGTAAATTATTTTGCTTTGTGGAGTTCTTTCTATTTGGTTATTGTTATAGCTAGCTTCTAATTTTTTATCCCTTCTAAATATTTTGTTCCTTCTACCTTCTCTTTCCATTATTTTCCCCTTAATTAAATAAACTATAATATTATATCAAGGAAAGATGATGTTATTCATCTTCATACCAGAACACACAATTATCTTTTTCTCATTTTAAAAACTCTTTCTCAACATTCACGCCCACTAATATGTAACTACAATACTAACACACACACACACACACACATATATATATATATATATATATATATATATATATATATATATATATGCATATACATGTGTGTAGTGTCTTGACACCTCTCTTTAGCCAAGAATTATATTTATCTTTTTTCTCTTCATTTTTTTGGTTGCATTTTCCTCTTCTTTTTTTATTTAAGTAAATTAGCTCAACATCGGCTTGAGTCTTTTTGATTCCCCATTTTTATTATACTTTTCAAACTATTCCGTTTAAAAACTAAAAATGTCACCTTCTTAAACCTTCTTCTAACGTTTCAAACTTTTCCCTTTTCCCATAATTGCTTATCAATAGATATATATCATTTTGCTTAGTAATTACACGTGACAATCAAAATCGTTCTTCTTTCATTTTTAACTTTCTTTCTCCTTATTAAAGCTCATCAAAGTCTCTAAATACAATTATTAATAAATATTATTATTATTATAACAAATAATATGCTATTTGTAAACAACATTTAAACAAAATGAAATGCCAGAGGATTTAACGTTACATTTTATGACTGTTCTTTTTCACCTAAGTTAAGTAATTTTCATATGTTAGAACCTATTATTTAGTGTATGAACATAAACCAATTGAAGAGTTTAGGAAAATCAGCAATATTTCCAAGTCAAATACTCAGTTATTTTACAATAATGCAAGTAATAACACAACGTGCGTTAAATTAACTAAATTGTTCATGATGATAAAAAAATTACTATTTGTGATATAATCAATTTTATATATGCTTATAGATAAAACTATCTATTTTATCTCAAGTAAATTCAAAAGATATTATCTAAATCCAATTAAGAAAAATTCACTAGTAACTAATAGTTATACATAAGTTGAAAAAGTGTATCAAACAAGGGATTAGTAATACCGAAAGCTAATACATGCATTATTCTCTAATGCACCCTACCAAACGTCCCCTTACTGGTTTGTTGCATAAAGGCATCTTCAGCTGTCAATCCTTAATCACAACAATAAAATCAAGAACGGCAACCAAACGAGGATTATACATGCAATAGATTGGAAGGTGATCAACTTCCGTGACTGACTAGGTAGCATGCACTACTTCTGGGAGGTTCATTATTGGCCACTTTATCATGTTATGCTCCTGTTCAATTTATTGGAAATCCAAGAATAGCAACACTGTTATTTATCTTCTGCAAATGCTAAATATAGGGCAATGGAAAAATTTTATGGCTCAAGTTTCTAGGTTGGCTAGGTTTTCAAAAGAGTCAACAATTCTTTCATTTGTTATCGAGCTCCGGTTAACACATATTCCGACAATCAAGCTGTTATGCACATTGCCATAAACCTGGTTTTTCATAAGTGTACCTAGCACATTGAGTTGACGCATATTTTGTCATAGATAAGCTTACTAATAGGTTAATTCATACTTTCCCTTGATGGTGTTCAGGCCCTTCAGGGTACAATCGTTTTAAGCGAGTTGGGATCGGAGTTCATTCACCCTCCAACTTGAGGAGGAGATGCTGGAATTCCAACTGAACCACCTGGACATTTAGTTAGTCCAAGTCCAAGAAGGCTAACTTTAGTTGTATTTCAGTTCAGCGTTTAGCTTGTAGTAGTGGGACGAGCGAGCACCCATGCAATAAAAAGAGGGGGCTGGTTTGTGTGGGAGCAATGAAACAACAACCATGACAGCAACCTGTGTAGAACTCACTTGAAAACCTCTAGAATTTCAACTAATGTTATCTAGTATGAAATGTAGAATATGTGAATCAAAAGTTGTACAATGTCAATGTTGAATTAAACAATACAGATCATCTTTCATATTGATATCGTTGCTCATTTAAAAGCATCTAGACCTAGCACAAACCTAAGCTAATAAGCTAAAAGTAAGACAAAATTGAATTTCTGAGACACTCATTAGGCATTTAATGATGTCTACAATTCAAAAAAGCTAGAAAAAAGCACCTCTTTGAAGCGGTAATGCACAACATGAGAAGATAGAGCCAATAAATTCCATTGGGAAGCTTCTGCAAAATCCTATTAACTTAAGTCTCAATTAGAGCGGCTGTCGAAGCCTATGCTGCAACCGGCTCAGCAATTGGACTAGAAGCGGTAGTTTTAACCTGCCATAAAATGTATACATATTATTGCAAAAGCTTAAAAATCAATTTCCAATCATACCATACATAAGAGAGAGACGACAATTTGTAGACTACCCAATATGTTTGAGCATGCTCTTGAGAGAAATAGATGATTAATATACCAGTGAAGAATAAGAGAATCTCACTCCACAACCTAAGGGAGATTACCTCCCCACCTGCAACTTGTACATGCGGCTCTGGTTTCTTGTAAGCACCCCGCCATTCATTAGCTTAAGATCTCCATGCTCAGGACAAAAAGACCTTAATATATATAAGCATCAGACCTTCTACTGAATCTGGAGATCAAAGAATAAGCCAAGCTTCGGGGCAATTTTACGATAACCATAGAGGTCCCCCCAGATCACTTTTAACAATCAAAGGAGGACTAGAATGTCCTAGTCTAATACCAATTCTTGTGAGGCACTATGACCCCTCTAACATCCCTAAAGAGGTACGATCTCGTTCAAGACATTCTACCAGCATTACACAGGGCACAAAGAGATTACCTTTGCTGATTTAAAGAGTTCATCAATCACTTCAGACAAGGTTGGATGTGCATGAACAGCGTACTTAATGTCCTGTAAAATGCAATAACAAATGTAAAACACATGAGAAGAATGCTGACCGAATAAATGACTTCTCAAATCGGATACAACACTCATTGAAGCTTGCAAGGATCTACTAAAGTTCATAATCCAAAGAAAACATGTTAACTCCATCTCCCATTGCCACAAACCAAAAAAAGAGAAAAAGCATCAAACAAGCTGCAGGTAACCATTTACTTGAGCCCTTCCAACAAATGGTTAGTACTGTGAGGAAAATGCAATTTGCAGGGCAATGCCTACTTGTATGCGTGATCCCAGAGCTATGGCATTGGATGCTTCATGTATTAGATCAGCAGCATGCATTCCAAAGATGTGGACTCCGAGGATCTCACCATTGTAAGGCCTATAAATCAACTGCATTTAACAAGAATTTCAGTGATCACATAAGACACTACTCTGCAGGGGAGGAAACATCTTAAAACGATAGGAAAATGGAAACAACAAAAGAAGCAGCTGGTAACATAAAGAATAAATCATGTAACATCAGCAATCCTTGAAAAACGATAATGTGCTACCTTTGCAAGTCCTTCCCCTTCATTTTCAGCAAGAGCTTTTGTGTTAGCCTTGAAACTAGTCTTGGCAATACTAATTTCAAAGCCCTCCTTCCCAGCTTTTTCTCTCGCTTGAGGCTGCATAATTGCAACTATACAATCAAAACTCTATATTTAAGTGCTATCACAAAGAAAACAAAAAATCGTTCACTCAGGAAATATTTTTCCGTCGTCACAAGCATGCGTGCTTCTCTAAGGGTACAGAAGCATTGTGTGACAAAAAGAGGCAAGCATGAGAACAAAAACATCCAGTAGCAGAGCAATGTACAAACAGTCCCAGAAAAGGATGGCATATTCTGTCTCCAACCTATAAGGTAACCACATTATCAAATCTGTGTGGAAGTTTCCACGCAACCATGTTCCACGTGTAGATATTATTAGGGAATTAAATTTCCTTATAATTACTAAAGATCATAAAAGAAGAAAAGACCATAGCCCATAAGAAAAAAGGGCAACATCAAACAAAAACAATATTCAAAGAGATGATAATACCTCCGTCAATCCGACCATACTGATTTCAGGATGGGTAAAGCACGCTGCTGGAATACTTAAATGATTCAGGATATGGTCCTTTCCAGTAACTTGCTCAACAACTATGAAAGAAGGCAAGGCCATGAGTTAAACAACTATCAAAAAATTGCTCAATTACCTTGGCACGGTTGATAATTTCATTTTACCAGAGATTCCTTGTGCACTTGCAGCATGTGCAAGCATCATTTTTCCATTTGCATCACCAATGCAGTACAAGTGAGGAACCTATCAAGCACAAAGGGTTAAAAGCGGAAAAAAAACTGTCGAGAAATGCAAAAGAAATAAAATAATGCCTACCAGCTCCCCATTTGCATCGATGACTTGCATGTGTTCATCAACAGGAACAAATCCACGTTGTGTTTGAACATTTATCTGTTGACAAGTGATAGCCAATACTATAAATTGTCATCAAATCATTCAAATTAGTTTTCCCAGGGGTTTCAGTTAACACTAATGCAACTAACATTTTCCAGGCCAAGTCCTTGCGTAAACGGAGCCCTTCCAGTTGCAATAAGAGCAGCATCTACCTGCAGTAGAATAATGTAATTCAGGTTTCATGCAAGACACTAGTGACAGAAAGCAAAGTCATTGTTAGGGGATAAGACATGTGGGCAACACAGTCCTTTTGATTGAAAATATTAAAACTGTGTATAGTACTTTATTAGCTCCGATTGCAGCAAAAGTCTCCCTCTTTAGAGTTATTAGGAGTACAACTTATCAATAACACCTAATCTCCAAATTTTGCTGCTTAACCTTTCAGATGTTTGATCCCGTTTTCACCTTCTACCACTTATGTAAGCTCCAGCGTCTACCATTAAGCTCTGATATTCATTATACTTGTACATACAACAGTGTTCTTTAACAATCAGAAAGAGCTTATAAAATATCAACATTTTAAGCGTAGTCGTTTAACAAAGTCTCTATGTTACAGGCAATACTACTGATAAATCTTAGATTACAGTTCCTTATAGGACTTTTAAGTTGCAGGAACCAAGGACTTTTAAGTGAAAAGAGAAAAAAGAAGTTACTTGTCGAAATTTACAAGATTAGTTCCTTATATAGAACTTTTAAGTTGCATTTGTCAAGTGACCCACTTTGGTTGATGGAATTGATGTTATCTCCTTATATGGTTTTTTTGGGCAATCCTCATCTCATGAGCTAACTTTAGTGGTTAAGTTAGGCCGAAAATGATATCAGAGTTAGGCCCATTTGAAATCTTAATTTACCTCACGTTGGGAGCCTACGTAATGTTGTTCATGCTCCAAATATCCAGTCTTGGGCGTGCAAGAGGGTGTTAAGTGTTACAAAGAAAAACTTTTGCATGCTGCTAGACTGAAGCCACACAAGTCTGAATCAAGTGAAAAGAGAAAAAAGAGAAAAGAGTTCTTATTAAAAATGATGGTGAACACACAAGGGAGCTCCTTATATAAGAGTTTTTCTTTTCGAGAAGAACTCCTTATAAAGGAGTCTTAAATTAAAATTTCCTAATTCTTGGGTTTCCTAGCTATTATGACATATATTATAATTCCTAATTGATATGATTGTCTTGACTTTTCGTGAACTAAAAAGTAGTTAACCATTTTAAGAATTATGATCTTAATCATGTTGTAGCACTAAAAAATGTACAACCTCAGTCAACAAGTATATATTAGATTTAACAATGTTAAAGAACTCGTCAAACCAAAGAGCTACAACTTACTTCCAAAGTATCCTTTGGTTCCTTCGTCTTTGCATCAATAAGCTCAATTAGCACTGGCTTTCCATCCCTTGCTGGAGTTATCTGAATAAGGTGGGACAAATTAAGATAACTTGCTCTCAGAATGGCATTCATATTAAACTAAGTTGTGGCATATATTACCTTGCTCGCAAATACACCTGTATGATAGTCAATCTTCCGAGGATTGATAAGAACCCGCTGCGCCAGTTTCCCAATCTCAGGATCAAAGCCAGGCATGAGCTGATCTAGAGCTTCAACAAAGGTAACCTGTAAATTCATCCCATGGTCAGCATGGGGAGACAACCTCTCCATTTTTCCATTATCTAAAAGAAAATCGGAAAATGACATGCTTGAAGTTGTATTGCATACGCTAAATATCTTTTAAAACAATAAATACATAAGAACCGCCAGATGCATAATGTAGAAAAGGTTCATACCTCACTTCCAAGTGCCGTGTACACATCGCTAAATTCTAGTCCAATGTAACCACTTCCAACAATAGCAATCCAGTTGGGTACAAATTCTAATTTAAGTGCATGGTCACTAGTTATTACAGTCTTACCTGCAAAGCAAGGATTGGCATCAGTCAATGATACAACTGAATGTAAAAGCTCTAAATGGTCTAGGGCAAGCATAATAATTCTCAGTGATGTTCTGGATAGAAAGAAGGGAGGAAATACTAAAAGGGAAAAAATGAAATGTGTATGCCAATTTCAGTTCTCTTTCTTGATGCTAATGCTGGTTCCTTTATCTTCGAAACTGCTGTATCTGTTTAACTTAACGAATGACGGGTCAAAATCTCTATCTCCGATGAACTTAAATTAACTCATGTAGGTACAGAACGACGAAAATTTCCAACTGCTGAAGCGAAATGTTCTGCACATTGTCAGATCATTTAACTTAATGGGGCAGGTAAATACACTTCCTGATGCTTAGGCAATACCACAAAATGCGTGAACACTCTTATCAGAAAAGAGTCTTAGAGTTTTGCCCCAATTTGTTTCATCAAAAGTACCATCCAATTGTATGTGCATAAGAAACAATAGCAGAGAGTCAAACCCAATTTCGAAATGTTCTGCACATTGTCAGATCATTTAACTTAACGGGGCCGGTAAATACACTTCCTGATGCTTAGGCAATACCACAAAATGCGTGAACACTCTTATCACAAAAGAGTCTTAGAGTTTTGCACCAATTTGTTTCATCAAAAGTACCCTCCAATTGTATGTGCATGAGAAACAATAGCAGAGAGTCAAACCCAATTTCGAAATGTTCTGCACATTGTCAGATCATTTAACTTAATGGGGCCGGTAAATACACTTCCTGATGCTTAGGCAATACCACAAAATGCGTGAACACTCTTATCACAAAAGAGCCTTAGAGTTTTGCACCAATTTGTTTCATCAAAAGTACCATCCAATTGTATGTGCATAAGAAACAATAGCAGAGAGTCAAACCCAATCTCGTTGACAAGGTTGTTCCTCTACAAGCAGTATCTTTGCTATTTTACACGAGCATTGCATAACAAATGGGCAATAGGCTTCAACTTTCATTACTTCTTTTCTTTTGAAAGCATCAACATTGAATTTAAATATTGTTCATCCCATTAAGCAGTGTCTTGAAATTCAAACACTCAACCCGTGATTTAATAGAAAAAAAGGTTCAGCATGCAGCTGGTGAACAGAACCAGCTAAACGACTTGGCATTGAGACTGGCTAATGCAGTTGATGGGTTCTTTATCAAATAGACAATACTGGTTATGAAAGCACTTACCATCAACCTCAATGCCTTTGGGCACAGACGGGACAGAGCCAGTAGCAATTATGATGTCTTTTGCTGTTATTACAGTATCCCCATATTTGACTTTTTGTGGACCCTGAATATTTAAGCACAACCTTCATTTAGTTGAATACAGACGAATAGGATAGCTGTAGTACACTACAACAATTTATAAATATCTAGACCTACCAAAACTGTCCCAAAACCAGTCAATATATCCACGCCAAGGGCTTTCATAGAATTGGTCAAGTTACCACGTATCTTGGAGGCCAAATTATTTGCATGATCAGCAACAGCCTGTCTATCATACCCAGCAGCAGCAACCTTTCATGGAAGGTTGGATACATTAAGTCAAAATTAAGACTGAGAAGACTAAAAGAACATGCATACACAAGATGAAGTTAAAAAGTGTACTATAAGCTTTCACAAGAGAACTTCCTCTCTAGATGACAATTAGGGTTAACAACAATTCATAGTGTAAAGTTCATTAAATCACAATATCTAAGGAAGAGAGAAACACAAGTGTCTTGTCTTTAGCTAAATTATATGTGTTAATCCTTCAAGCCTTATTTTGAATGGTTTTGTGCGCGTATTCAGTGAGCATTTAGTACGAATCTATTTTTGTTATGAAGGAGGATTCAGTCACAAAAGATAAAAGGACAACATGGGGTGCAATAAACCATTATCAGGCTTTCTCTCTTGAACTACTATGAAGGGTAAAAGCTAAAAATTAGAGTTTCAAATTTGACATGTGCTTTTAAACTATTCCATTTTGCATTATTTCATGAGGTGTAATGTTCTAATTGGACAACATAATACCCAATGGATCAGATCATTTTACCAGCATACAAATTACATAAAAAGATCATGTAGAATGTGAATATTTTATGGGCTTGTAGAGATGCAAGAATAAGAAGCACCTGTAAACCAAAAGACTTCATATGGTGTTCATTCTGAAGCTCCCGCATGCGGCCACTCACAGCTAGGAGGGCTTTGGAAGGAACACATCCCCTATTTACACATGTTCCTCCAACAACATCCCCTTCAATGATGGCAGTTTTTAAGCCCTACAAATATTTATATTAAGTAATTATTCCCTCATATACACTGGCAAAAGAAAGGAACCGCGTTGTTGTTTGAACCCAAATTCCCATTCATTCCAGTCTTTGCACAAGTAATCATAAAAGAGATTGCATCGAGTTGGAAGAAGAATTATCATTTCGTACAGAAATAGACGCCCAATCAGCAACAAGTATCAGCATGTTTTCTGTTCTTCTTTCAGTTATTTCTTGTACATTTCCATTTTCTATTCCCTGCCCTTAAGTAAAGTGCTTTGACATAGTTTAGGAATGATCCAATACCTACGTCCACGAATATAGCTGAATTAAGCCTCTATTGCTTAATAAAGTCGGTAATCATTTTATGTAAAAACTTGTCTATACACCAGATCAAGTTAATCGAACTCCAATGAAACTATGATGGTATTTGGATTGGCTTATTTTAATTGCTTATTGGCTTTTAAGCACTTTTTTAGCTATACGTGTAACTTCACCTGAAAGGAAAGCCAGACAGCTTCAGGTTTCCACTAATTACATTTGGGATCACCAATTATAAATTCCTTCACCAGTTTGAACAAACATATATCCCCTCTCAGCTATGAGTAACACAATTGAATAATAGAAAAGCAATTTACCTTCTCGACGGCGTGAAGAGCAGCACCATGACCACCAACACCAGCTCCAATGATAACCAAATCATAGTCAAAGCCCCCCTGGGCTTTGGAAGAAGAAGGAGCTCCATTTGCGGAAGAAGCCGATATTGTGTTGTTATTCGAACAACAAAGCCTTGTAAGACGAATGGGAAGGCTCGAATTCAACGCCTCTTTTCTCAGTCCGCAGAATCGAAGCGATCGCGGCGTGAGAAAACTGCCGTTGGCAACGGCAGCTGTGCTGCAGTCGGATCTGCAAATTGTGGAAGGCGAAGAGAAGGAGAGGGAAATTGAAGACTGCATTTTATTAGATTTTGAGAAGAAATGGGGGGAGGAGATAGATATAGCAGAACCAGAATGAATGAATGTTTGAGCCGTTGGAGTTAACTACCTTGTGTCCAATAAATTGTTTCCTAGTTGGATGAATCATTACTATTATTTTGGTTTTGCAGTTGGCTTGAGTCTACTTTTTGTATTAGTAATTTTAAATTCTTACCGATAATATTAAGGTAATTTAACTAGTCAATCATTATTTGGATATAAATTTCTCGACACGTATTTTATGACAAATATTACAGGAAAGAAAGAGACTTGTTGATATGTCAAAATTTAGCTGGCCAACTCAAAATGACAACAATAACAATAATGATATTTCAAGAATGAAAAACAAGGCTAAAGGAGCCCGTAGCTCCTCACGTGAAGATAGTTAGTCTATAGAATGTACTAGCTATGAACTACTAGCTATGAACTAGCCCCAGATGATTCGACACTAATTGCATTAGAGGGCTCATTTTCTTCATTCTTACCCATATTTTTTCAAGAGGAAAAAACATAAAAATATTTGAGTAAAATTTTCAAAAACCTACTGTATACCCATCACAAGTAAATTACCGAACTTCCATGTTATTATAATTTTATAAGTGCTGGCTACTCTTCTTGAATTGAAATATACATTCACTCGATGTGTTTTCTTTAATAATATTTTTATTAAAAAATCATGTATAATTAATAATATGTATAATATTGGAATAAATCATGTATGTTTACCATAAACATCCTTATTCTTATATTCTGAAAAATATAAAATATACATATTTACTGAAAATATACAAGGTATATATATGGTATGTATACATTATAAATTATTTATATGTTTGGTATAAGAAATAAATCATTGATGATTATGCAATAATAACATTGTATAATTAATAATACCATATATTCTTAGAAAGATCAGTGCGTGGATTTTGCTTTGGTTAAAGTGTGTATATATAAATATAGATGGTATAATGATGGTATTCGGTATATCTATATTTTTTTTTTTTTTTTT